ACCCTACCTTGATTTTTCGGGACCCCACTTTGGGTCCTGACCCCAACTTTGGGAAACACTGCGCAGGTCAATCACAGGGCCACACATTTAGGAAGCACAATTAAGAAGCTATATAAATTTCAGTGGTGCAGGGGGCTCATCCTGTTCRCCCTGCAATCAGAGCTTTGCCAGTTCAAATCCCTGCCTGAGCTCATATGGTAATTGTGTCCCTGAGCAAGACACTTAACCCAACCTCCCCGTGTAATAACACTGTTGGTGTGATTGTGATGGTCTGGAGGGAGGGTGGGTGCAGACTGGCAGCTGCCCTTCCACCAACGAGTGTGACATGAGGAGGGAATGAATAATGCAGGAAGTTGTGAAATGTCTTTGAGCTTCTAGAGACGTGCTATAAAAAGACTAATGCTAATTATTACATATTTTGAGTTACTGATTGGTCCAATGTAGCAGAAGATTTAAACACATATTCCCAATTATTCTCGACTAATGAAAAGGAGACTGAACGAGAAGTTGGTTGGTTTTTGATAAAAAAAAAAAACTTAGACTACATAAGAAACAATTGGGTAAAAGAAGGAAATTTATTAATTACAACTGAAGTCTGGGAACAGATTAATAAATTACACTGGATGACCTCAAGCTCCAAAACATGGCGGCTGTTCAGTTGGAAAAACTCTGTTCGATACTTTGTAACTCCAGTTCAGAAAAACACCAGGGCAGCAGAGACACATGTTGGAAACTCTGTGGAAAAAATGGTGCAAATCATCACCACATCTTCTGGGCTTGTCTGGTGATTAAGGCATTTTGGGAGCAAATACGTATGTTCCCACCTAAATAACATCTTTACTGAAAGAATCCCATGTAATTGTGAATCCCTATATTTAGGAAATATTTCATTTGATAACTGGACTCTGGACGACAAAAAACTCTTATTGGTGCTTCTGGCAGCAAGCAAAAAGACAACCACTAGAAAATGGTTAAAGCCTGAAACACCCACAGTGGAGGATTGCGTTTCCATTGTACAGGACATTTACACTCTGGAGAAGTTATCTTTTCTGTTCATGGTCGGAGAGAATCCTTTTTCAGGATCTGGTCTAAATGGACAAACTATGTAAAGTCGATTATTCCAGTAGACTAAATATGTCCATTACATGTAAGTACTGTTTTGTTGTTTACTATACTGTACCTTAACTCAGGATTATGGGAAATGTTTGCTCTTGACTGTGTTTTACCTCCAGCGAAAGAAAAACTAGACTTGACCCTCCTTTACCC